GGGGGGGGGGGGGGGGTCCCTTCACCAGGAAGTCCCACTTCCATGTGGTCCCCACCCCTGCTTCACCACCTGGAATTCGTCAGTCTGAGTGTACAGCAAAGCCTTCCTCTGCATGGGAGCAGCAGGCTTTGCTCAGCCAGTCAAGTTAGTATCTGGCTTAAATATTTCTTAAGGTTCAGAAATAAAAGGCAGTTGTTTTTTTTGTTTTTTTGCTTTGCAGGCAGCAAGGCATGGGGCGCAGGCCTCTGTCGCTCCATATGGCACAGGAAGATGCTTTTTGCAACGGGCACTGACAAGTTAGGGCGACACCAGGTAGGTTCAGCATCAAGACAACCTTGTTTGGGGGCCTGAAGGGACAGCGCCTGTGGACTGTTTACTGGTCTGTCCGATCCAGGCTTGGTAAACCCTAGTAAAGCTGACAAGAAAAGGGTTTTAAAAACCTCAGTACAAAAGATCCTCTAACACATTTGAAACCAATTTATCTGTTCTTAAAAACACGGTACTAAGTGTCACAAAGCTTTCCCTCCAATCTACTACTAGAAAACACTCATGCCAAGGCCTATAGACCCAGAGGAATCAGGACAGACAGAGAACCTGTTCTTCCAAAATAAAAAAAGACAGCAGTACATAAAGTGCTTCTTTTTTAATGAAACAAATCCAAAACATGTACAGTCAGGCTCAAGTTGTGCAGTTCACAAGCATGGAGAAAACAAAGAAACGAAACGACAGAGTTCAGGGCAGACAGAGCTAACCCAGGACGAGGCTGGACTTGCCACCAGGGGGGTTTCTCCGGGATGGCACGGGCGCCGGTGCCACTGGGCTGGGCACAGGGGCAGCGGGCACAGGCTTCTCCTCGCTCTGCCCCAGGCTGGCCTGCAAGTCTGTGTCTACGTTTTCTAGGAAAACAGAATGAAATTAAGGCTAATAACTATTCGCAGTGAAGGTGAAAAGCCTAAGTTTTTTTGGCTTTTGGGGTTTTTTTTTTGAGGATGGTTCAAACCATACCTAGAGCTATAAAGAAGAAACCAACGATTACCAACCATCTGGCAGCCACTATCCAGAATTAACCACTGTTAATGTTTTGCCATATTTGTCCCCAGATCTTTTTCTGTGTACGTTCTTTTCTAAATTACAGAAATATATGAAGACATAAATATTTTAAATGAGAACGTTACAGATAAGCTCTAGGTCCGTCTTCCCTGGTGGTCCAGTGGTTCAGACTCCGCATCCCCAATGCAGGGGGCCCGTCACAATATCTGGTCAGGGAACTAGATCCCACACACATGCCGCAGCTAAAAGCTCTAGGTCCCTGACCACCGCTCCATCTCTATGTGGGTCTCCTCTCCCTATACACAGAGGCCCTACTACTAGTTGTGTGCATTCCTCTAGTCCATTTGTTTTATGTATATTTTGTGTATTTCATTTCCAGCAAATTACATAGAGTAGTGTTTTTGTTGTATTTAACATAAATAATGTCAATTTCTTTTTTTTTTTTTTAACTTTTGGACATTTACCCGCACTTACACACATGGTCATGATTCACCTTGCTTAAATAATTGCTTTATATTATGTACAGAGTATATATGATTAAGCCTCTACCGATAGCAAAAAATTGAAACTAATCCAACCATTCCGAAACTGTAACGCGCACACTCTGGAACGTGTGCCCACGGGGACACGCGCTGTCGTCTTCAATTTGAACAGATTACACAGCACCTCCCCCAGTGGCTGCACAAGTTCCACCCCACTGCCCGTGTCAGAGTATATGCTCTCCCTGCGTCCTTCCATTTCCACCACTTGATAACCATCTCACCTTAATATCTGACGAACTGATGGGTGAAAAATATTTTTAAATTCCTGTTATATGTTACATTTTCATGATTAATGGGTGAGGTTGATTTTTTTTAAAATCCATACAATATCCAGTTGTACAGACATTTATTAAAGAGTCTACCTCCCCGCTACTGATTTTGTAATATATTAACCCAGTCACTCCCATCATATTAACCCGGCACTTTCCACATTAAAGTCTTAAGAATTAGTGTATTATTATCCAGTATCCTAGATATTGCTTGATTGATTCCCTGACTGATTTGTGAAATTCCCAACAAGCACATATCCTTAAACAGGTAGTTTCCATTGAATCAAAGTCAAGAGTGACTGCAAAAGAAAAAACGCTACGGACTTCCCCAGTGGCGCAGTGGTTAAGAATCCATCTGCCAATGCAGGGAACACAGGTTCGAGCCCTGGTCCGGGAAGATCCCACATGCTATGGAGCAACTAAGCCCGTGTGCCACAACTACTGAAGCCCGTGCACCTAGAGCCCGTGCTCTGCAACAAGAGAAGCCACCGCAATGAGAAGCCCACGCACTGCAACTAGAGAAAGCCCATGCGCAGCAACGAAGACCCAACACAGCCAAAAATAAATAAATAAATGAATAAACTTTAAAGAATAAATAAATAAACTTCCTGGACTTTTCCCCTCTTTCTTCAAGATTTCCAAAGTCCTCCCTGTAGCCATTCCTGTGTTTAATTACCCAAGAGATGATGGCAATATATCCAAACAAAATATGTTTTACTTCAACTGAGCAGAACAGCTTGGCTTTGCAGTGAAATTGCCAACAGCACTGGGGTCGACCTTTACTCATCAGACCTGTCCTGAATGATTATGCCCTTGTCATTTTATGACAAATGAGCTGAAAGTAGCAGCAGTCAGGAACACAGAATAATCAGGTGGCAAAATTGATGATCATCTGGAAAAAAACGGAAGGACTTGCACTATACAGCTGCATGTGCTATTCATTCACCTCAAGGATCTGCAACACTGAGCTGGGGGTGGGGGAGAGAATTAATCATTAGCAAATGACTTATCTTTTCCTAACTTCAGGGCTCTCATTCTCTGGGCTCCCCAAATTTCTCATTATATCCATTGGCCAAAATTAGTGAAAGATTAGCTGATGCTTTTGCTAAACAAGGTCTGACATTGGAAGTACTTCAGAATAGGAAAAGCAGGAGGATCGAAAGGCCTAGATTGTCTTTACCTCTAGAACAGTCTTTTTAAATGGAACAAGTTGGGCAGGAACAATAAGTAACACACCTTCAGTCCGGTGAGAACCTAATCTGCCCGTGGAGGGAAAGCCCAGGTAATGCTCAGTGGCTCAGCAGATTCTCCTCCCGTCACGCGCAGCAGGGAACGACGAGAGGACAGAGGGGGCATGGGATTCTTGTCACACGTTTCTGTTTCCCTGGAAGATTGACTCGCAAATCGTAATGGCAGAAAAAGGCCTCGAGGAAGCGGCTTCATCCTCCTAGGTCAGGGCGCCCTGTGATGCCTGTGTGTCACTGAGTCAACTTTAACCTGCCCGCTGCTGGCTGACGTGCGTAAGCCCCTCGTCACACACGCGCCGGCGATTCTCTGGCACTTGTTGAAGAAGTGCCAGCAAGGACTCAAAAGGTTTTAAATAATTAAATAAATGATCACAGCTCGTTTCCACGTGTAATTGGTGACGTGGGTGCTAAATGAAGTCGTCATTCACGAGATCACAGGGTTACAGCACCTCAGTACAAAGTCAGATTTTCTAAATTCAATGCTGAAGGCTGACTTGAAATGCTAGAGACTTTTAATAAAAAGCTCTCATTGAGTGTAACAAATACCAACCTGATTAACGCCCGTCTGTTCTTAAAGGATTCCCCTGTGGTTTTCCTTTCTAGTACGTTTCTAGCATTGCTCTCACTGCTGGCCGATACCAAATGTGGCCACACTTGCTAGCTTTCCAGTTATTTTGCTTTCCTCTCCACCCAGAGGGTGCTGGCAGTTGGGGTAAAGCCAGGTTCACTCCCCAGTCTCCTTCCCCAAGACATGACTTGAATACACATTCCAGTCTATTCTAACATTTACAGAACCAGAAGTTGTGATACTTTTTCAGAAGTACTCACCATGAACATCACCTTCTCCCTGGAAAAGAAAAGAATCAACAGTTTACTTCAGATTTTAATTTTGCCACACACAGGAAAACAGTTCAGAGAAGCGACCGTCTGTTTGAAGCCGAATGTGAAGTCACGCTGCCATTCCAGCGCACAACCTTTATCCACCCTGGGACAATGCTCCACAGAAATGCTGCTGGACAAATTGTCCCAGTGCCAGTAACATGCCCCCAACACCAAAAAACCTTAACATTTACGCTGATGACCTAATATCAATTCGCATTTCAGAGGATCTTTTATCAGAACAGGAAATTGGTAAACCTGTCCTTCCACTCCCCCCTCCTTTCTCCTAATCTAGCTGTTGAAGGGCCTCCATCAATTCCAAAGCCTTTCTACAGGTCTCCCCACACCCAGATGGCTGATGCCTCCATGTGCTCTGAGGTCCCTACTCAGGGGGGACATCCTACCAGGCTTTCCAAACACACACCTGGGGCTCACAGGCCGTGATCACCTGCAGACAAAGAACGGTAACACCACGGTACACAGCCTCCTGGAGTTCAGCTCAAAACAACTGGGCAACCTCTGCCAACAACTAAAACAGTCCTTGAGCTCAGATATGCTACTATGTGTGAGATACACAGGGAGTACGAGTGATCCAGTTTCAAAAATCAATACTGAAGGACAGAGACTAATCCTAATGGTAGCAGAGACATACGAACAGACCAAGATCCCATTGACTCACCTTTCTGACTGACTGTCCATCTTCCATCACCAGTATGGTTAGTCCCTTTCCTAACTGCCTCTGTAAAACTCCAGTGGCAGGTCTCAGTACAATGGGGTGGTGCAGGGCAGATGGAATTAGTTGCTCAACTGTATAAACCTCAAAGCCCGTCTTTCCCCCCGTATTGTCACACTGACCTTCAGATCTAAGAAGTCTCCAGGGTTTGCTTCAGAAGAGTTCCTTCTCTGGGGTCCAGATGACTCAGAATCTTCCCGGCCACCACAAGACTTGGCACCTGAATCAAAATATACTTTCTTAAGGAATACAACGGAAAGACCTAAAGCAAAACACTATTTAATTAGTCAGTCTCGTACTACAACATGAGCTAACAGTGTTAGGGAGTGACGGCTTAAAAATTCTACAGAGGGTCTAAATAACCCAGTCTGACGGTTGTCCTTACTCTGATCCGTTACACAGACTCCCAGCATTTTCCATTTCTTAGTCCTCGTCTCTCCTCCCATGACAAGCTTTAACGATTAAGCTAGATTTTACTCATCAGCACAAAACCAGCTGTGGTGGTTCTGCTGGGTCCGTCCCTTTGACCAGGGATCACGGATACTAGCAGTACCTGCCGACTTGGCCCAGGAAGGGGGATTTTCCTCAGGTGTCCCAAAGATGCTAGAGGCCATTTTATTCCGCCTCACAGGTTGTTCTGTTGGTTCATCAAAACCTAATGAAAAATTGGATCCACCACCTGGAGGCCGCAAAACCCTAGGAATGATGGCAAAACAACGATTTCAGATCAGATCAAAACATTTCTTGGCACACTTGTTTTCAAACACCTTTCATTTCTCTCAACCACTCATTCCACCTACCCCCCCCCACACACACACACACACACGAGAGAGCTGCTAATGGGAAAATTAGGAATTGATTTCATCGTGGTATAAATTCAGTGCTGGATGTTAAGGTATGAAATCCCACTCTAGTATCTGTGGCGAGGTTGTGCATCACACAAGGCAGCTGAAACGGCCTGAAAGCACCCATAGCAGGCTGGTCGGCATCCCATTTTAGGAAAAGGCAGAAACCTAATGGATGTTGTCTATCAGGCTCGGCTGGACACACTTGCAAAGAAGTTGAGCAGCACATCTTGTTGGTTTTTTTTTTTGCGGTACGCGGGCCTCTCACTGTTGTGGCCTCTCCCGTTGCGGAGCACAGGCTCTGGACGTGCAGGATCAGCGGCCATGGCTCACGGGCCCAGCTGCTCTGCGGCATGTGGGATCCTCCCAGACCGGGGCACGAACCCGTGTCCCCTGCATCGGCAGGCGGACTCTCAACCACTGTGCCACCAGGGAAGCCCACATCTTGTTATTTATTTAAAAAAAAAAAAACTTCAGGGGACTTCCCCGGTGGTCCAGTGGTAAAGAACCCACCTTCCAATGCAGGGGACTCGGGTTCAATCCCTGGTCAGGGAACTAAGATCCCATATGCCCCATAGCGCAGCCAAAAAAAAAAAAAAAAGGGTTCCATTTTTATTTTCAACGAAATTTTTAAAATGGAAGAATATACATATAAAAGTTGACCAATTTAGAAGCCCAAGGAAAACTGGTAATTGTCTCTCCCGTCTCAGCATGACTCACAAGCCCTGTTTATACACTTGTACCTCACTGTTCTCACTAATCATTGTGAGTGATCAGCCACAAGGAGAAAGTCAATGAGAAATTAAGTTTAGGACTCCATGGCATGCTGTATATCCATGCACCTTTAGATACCATCTACAGCTGTTTTGTTTGACAAGGAAATACAGCACATTCACATTTCCAGATCTTCTTGACACAGGTTGACCAGTTTGTCCCCTCTGTGGAAAAACTCAATTGAATTTGTCCTGTCACCACTCAAAACAGAAAATGGAGATGGTTTCATGGAAAGATTTTCTAACTACAGATTCACTTCCTTTATTGGTGATCAGAGTGGTCTGTTTTTCTATTAAATCATTTTGAGTAAGAAACATTTTTCTAGGAAGGTGTCCATTTCATTCAAGTTTCCAAATAAATACGACTGTCATTTGTAAACTCAGCTCTGCAAGTTTTCACACATAAGGTCTTTCTAGTTCGCTGATTTCCAGCTTTTCATTACCACACGGACAACAAAGTCTGTGTGACATGTTCCTCTGAAATTTGATAAGATGTGCCTTATGGCTTGATATGTGGTCCATTTTGTAAATCTATATGTGCCTGAAAAGAATGTGTATCTGCCAGTATTCTATGTGTCTACCAGATAAAGCCTGTAACTGAGTCGTTCCAATCTAGTGATTATTAAATACGGTTTATCAATTACTGAGATTTGTTATCAACTTCTACTACAATGGGGGTTTTGTCAGTTTCTCCTCAGGATTCTGTCAAGACAGAGTTCTCTCTCAAAAAGACCACCACTGGGGAACCGCACTTCCACTGCAGGGGACGTGGGTTCGATCCCTGATCGGGGAACTAAGATCCTGCAAGCCACATATGGTGCAGGGGGGAAAAAAAAAAGACCACCACTGCAGTATTTTATTTAGTTCGGTAGGGAGAACTGCGTTGGGTTAACTGGCTAGTCATTTTGATTAAAGAAACAAAATATATATTCTTAACTCACTTCATTTACCAAAATAAATTCCAGCTAGGTCAAATATTTCAATTTAAAGCCTAAGACAAAAATATTGGAAGAAAACATGTACGAATATGGTCCTAGTCTTGAAGAAAAGGGCTTTCCTTCTAAGCACAAGATGAAAGCCAGAAACCATGAAAAATGGACAGATTAGACTTGGCAAAAATACACATTTGACAAAGGGTAATATAAATGCTTTTAAAAATAATTTTAAAAGTCGAGAGAAAAATGGACAAAAGGTAAACAGACAATTAAAAAATATGGATCACGTCTAAACTTTGAAAATTCAAATTCACAAGCAAATAAATGAAATTTAAAACAAAAGGATATATTTTTTGCTTATTAGGCTGGTAAAGATGAAAAAAATGCCCATTTCCAGCATGAATTAAAGTGTGAGAATATAAATTTGCACAAACTCTCTAAAGAACATTCTGATAAAACGTATCAAATGTTTAAGTTTGCATCTTATATGAACCAGCGTTTCTACTTCCAGAAGTTATCCTAAGTAGATAATTAGACATATGTACAAGAACACTTGCAGACGTAGGCTTGGTTACACCTAAGCAGAACACAAGGAAATCGAGATAAACTTCGCCTCTCAACCATATCTAGTTCTTACCATCTTCTCCAACCCAGTCAGGCCACTTTCTTCACTGTTCCGTGAACTGTTCTGGCTTATCTCCACCTTGGAGTATTTACTCCCAAATTTCCTCCTGCCCAGAGCACTCTCCACCCTTTCCTTGGCGACTATTTCAAAATCCAGCCCATTTCTTAAACCTCCACCTCCTCCATGAAGCCCTCCATGACCTTGAAGAATGACAAGTAGGACACTGAGAGGAAAGCATGTTAGACACCCTCCTTCTGGTCACCAGCTCTTTCTGTAAAGGGCCAAATAGTAAATATTTTTGGCTTGTGCTTCATTTGGTCTTTTGCAACTGTTTAGCTCCATCACGTAGCACAAAGGCAGCCGTAGACAACACAAAAACGAATGAGTGCAGCTATGTTCCAGTAAAACTTTGTTTCTGGACACTGAAATTTGACTTTCATGTCCTTTTCACAAGTCATGAAAGATTCTTCTTCTTGCCTTTTTCAACCAGTTATCAATGTACAAATCAGGTGCCAGCTGGGCTTGGCTCTCCTCTATCTAGTTCAGCAAATAGCCTCGTTTTTTAAGAGAACGAAGTCAGGCCCTGAGAAGTTCTAAATAAATTGCCCAGCATTAGTTAAGTGACAGAGATGGGGCCAAATCCCAAATCCTCGCTCCCTGACAGGCACATAAGACATGCTCAAAGTGCTGAAATAGGGGAACCACTCTAATGCCATTTTTCTCTTTAAAACTACATACCTATGTGGTTGGTGCTTTGCTTGCTTTTCTTGTTTTCTAGCCTTAGCCTGAAGCTATTTCTTATATACGTCCTCTAGCATCCTCCCCTAAATCTAATATTCGTGTCTGTGTCCATAGTAAAATTCAGTACTCAATTTATACTAAATTAAAATTTCATTATTTTCCCCGTGCGGGCAGGGAAGACCCGCTTTTATAACATGTAAAACATTAAAAACCCCACTGTTTCTAAGTCTCAAATATTAAATATCCACTTAGAATAAATTCATTATATGAATTAAGATAAATGTGTTCAGGCATACCTCTTATAAAGATAATTTTAGGTTTGCTAATTAAATTGTTTAAATCATAATTAAAGGCATGTTATAAATTCTTAATAGTCATTCTCTTATGTTAAAGTTGGAAGTGACTAGGTTTTTATCATTTGTACCTCAAATCAACAGACACTTGAAATACTATAATCAAAATTAACCTGCTTCAGGGAATAACCTGGTGGTCCAATGGTTAGGGCTCCACGCTTCCACAGGATGAGGCACAGTTTGGGGAACTAAGATCCCAAAACAAAAAACAAAATTAACTTGCTTCACTGTCATCCCCTTCATTCCCTAGAGATCAGAATGATTTTCCTTACTATCATAATTAAATTCTCATGAATTATTTCGGCAAGATGAAAATCTTCAGAACCCTAATGGGCCAGGAAAATTTTTTTTTGCCTTAAAAAAAAAAAAGACACTAGAACCCAATCACCAGCTTAAAAAGAAAGTCAAAGCTCTGACCGGACCAACTTTTTAAAGGTCTGTGCTCCTCTTGCAATAGCAGGTACTACCTACTCCGATGACGTCAGTGTTGGAGAGCCCATTTGTAACAGCGAGACATCCCCAAACAAAGGATTTGGATCATGAGACAGAAATTATTTCAATTTTATTTTTTAAGATCCTGCTGTTTTTTCTGAACTATGCATATGACTAGGTCAGGATTACACATCTGAGGCTCAACAAAAATGTGTCCATGTACTGCGGATAGCAATTTTCAAAAAATTACTTTCTCTTTCTTCTCTCTTTAAGCCCCAGAGTTCCTCTGTGATCTTTGCAGGTCATTCCTTCCCTATCGAACTAAATTTATAATGTGTTTATGGAGCCAGGAAAATGTTACTGGAGAAAAGAAGTTTAAGAGAATTAGGTGAGATTCTACAAGAAGGAAAGGTAGGAAGTAAATAAAAGGACAAATGCTACAGTCTTGAGATTACAATATTGGAGGGAAATTGATGACAACGGGCGAATTAAAACATTTATTTTGCAGACCCAAAAGTCATTTATGCTTCACATTTCAAAGATACAAATCAAAAAGCTAGTGTGAGGATTCATTTGACCTGGTTACTTAAATTCTTTGTGAAGCACTAAACTGCACTCAACCCCAAAGGATAAAACCTCAGATTTTTTAATATAATGTGTAAATTTTCACATTCCAATCACTACAGTATGACCAGCATAAAGTTGGCCTCATGGCACAAAATGAAAAACCGAGGTTCAATTTGTTCCAGTGTCCTCTGAAAAAAAATGATCTCACTGGAAGGATGACAACAGAAGAGGGAGTGACCAGTGTTTTCGTAGGTCTATCCTACTCAAGTTCCCCTTCCTCCCAGTAACACACTAATTTAGTTTTTTAAATCTGTCCCATTCTTTTCTACATTTTGAAAGGGAAAGGAATGAGTTGAAAAGGAATGTCATTTCCAACACTCCCTCCTAAGACTCACTGCTGAGGCCTGCTTTTTGTCCCCAAGGACTCCAACCCTTGTGAGACACTGCTATTTCACGGCTGTCTTCTTAGCCCCACAAAATGGCTCCCTTTGTGCCACTTGCCCAGGACCCCAAGGCTGGCCACACATGACTTCAGGTCATGATCAATGAAGAAGAGATGCTCAGAAAAAGTGGAATCTAAGCTTCCTCCACGCCTTGAGCAGGATCCCTGAGATGCCTGTATCCCACCTTAAAGAACAGCGTGCATGCACTTAGCCGAGACAATGTAGACATCTACCACCGCATCCAAACCCTTCCACCAAGTTAGGCAAGGGCTTGGAAAAGGGACCCTCCCAGTCCAAACACCATGCCCAGGGCCCCCTTCCCCAAATGCAGTGGCATGAGTGGCCAGAAAGGCCCCGGCTACGCAGGTGGAGCTAGTACGGAAGAGACAATGGATGTCTCCGGCCCCGCCCAAGAACAGGAAACCTCCTCCGGCAGGGGAATCGCGGCCAGAGGTGAACTCATTTTGCATACGTCAAAGGGGGAAGCGAAAGAGGTGGGTTGCAAACACCGAGGTCCGAAGGTCTGAGCGCCGAAAACCCACTTGGAACGACTCGCTCCCCCTCCCGTTCGGAGGTGGGCGCGGGAGGGGAAGGAGCAGGGGTCTTTCCTTTGTTAGCAGAGGGGAGGCACTTCGCGGAGGGCTGACGGCTGGGTCCTGAACGGCGGTGAGGGTTGCGACGACCAGCCCCGCCCGAACACAAATGCCACCTGCCGGGCGGACCCGAGTGGGTAGGAGCCCGCCGGACCGATCGCTGCGGCTGCAGGATCTGACCGCCACGCCGGGCGCGGGGCCACCACTTGCCCCGGGCCAGAGGCACGAGCGCGTGGGCGGGGGTGGGACAATAGGGCCGGATCAAGGTGCCCCGCGGGCTGCCCGGGCACCCGGGGCCCAAGACCACCGCCCTGGGGCCGAGCCAGCCACGCCGCAAAAGGGAGAAAGCGAACCCTCTCGGCACATCCCGACTAACGAAAACCCGCCGCGCTGCGAGCGCGAGCGGCCATGGCCCTTCCCAGCCCCTAGCTCCCGGGAAGGAATGAATGGAAGAGGAGCAGGAATCGGGCGGGGCCGGCGCGTCAGGTTAGCCGGCGGCACAAAGGCGGAGCCGGTGGCCGAGCCCCACCGCCCGGCCGAGCGCGAGAGCAGCGCCCCGGACACGTTACCGCCAACGACCTGCCGCCAGACCCGCCTGGCCCCCTGGGCAGCGGCCCTCCTGCCCCCGAGCCCCCGAGCCTCACCGGGAGCTATTCCTG